GAACATTTTCTGAGTATAATTAAAGTTCAGGAAGCAAGGAGGCCATTCAAGGCACCAAGTAAACATTGTCGGGCCAAACACATTACATACAGACACATGATTGAGACTCATTGTCCAAAAGTTCCTTCAAAGCCTCTTTGATTCAAATGGCATCCTGCTGAGCCCTTTTAATTACCCAGGTATATGGCTGGTCAAAATCAGTAGCCAGACAATCTACCTCAGCACTCCATGCTAGGAAAACTTTTCCCCATCACTTTGCAAATATCATGAAGAGTACAGCAGACTGCTATGACTACTGGAATATTATTTTCACTGAGGTCTAATCTGCCTAAAAAGCAGAGCCAATGCCTTTTAATTTTCCAAAGACACATTCAACAGTCATTCAGCACCAGCTGATCTGTAAGGCTCAATGAGCAAGGGGTAGGCTGGATCTCCAAGGATCCCTATGGACATTTGAATATCCTCCATTGGAATCTTCTGGTCTGAAAGAAATTCCCTGCTTACAGCTGTCTGTACAGGTCAGTGTTCATATAGATGTCTACACTGTGCACCTTCCTTGACTAACACATGCTGATGTCAGTGAAACAGCCACTGTGATCCACCAACATCTGCAAGACAATGGAGAAGAAGCCCTTTTGGCTGATGTATTCTGTGGCATGATAGTTTGGGGCCAAAATTAGGATATGTGTGCCATCTATTACCCCACCCTGTTAGGGAATCTTATTGCTTCAGAGCCATCCAGTATTTCCTGCACATTTCCCAAAGCCACAGTCCTTTGTAGCAGAAGGTGATTAATGATCCCACACACTTGCATCATTGCAACCCCCACAGAGGAGTTTCCAACTTCAAACTGATTCCAATGGGTAGCAGTCTGGAGTTGCCAGTTTCCACAGAGCAATTGCCAATCACTTTTCCACTCTGAAGTCAGCTCTTGTTCTGGTGTCCTTGCACCGCAGGGCAGGGCTGAGCTCCATGCACAGTTCCGGGAAGGGGTGTTGCATGCCCAAAAGTTCTGCAGCCATTGCTTGTCATCCCAGAAAGGCATCAATCGTGAATTGGTTATTTGTATTGTGCACAGCACAGCAAGCACCATAGGTTCACTTTCTGTTTCACAGTTCATGGAATACTGCAGGACCACCTGCGCTGCACTCATTATACTCATCAGCAGACTAGTCAGCAATCCAGGATCCATGCTTCCAGGCAGAGATATCAGGTGTGCAGTTTATCGGGGCTGAACAAAATGGTGCAAACCAAAGTAGGAAACCCATGGAATGATGGGACGGAAAGTACTATATCATGGGCCAGTGAGCATTCCCCAAAGATGCAATGCGATCTGTTCCCAATTGCAGAAGGCAGCAAACAGCAGAGTGGGATAGCTACCTACGATGCAATGCTCTCTCTGTCGATGCAAGAGCACCAACTGCAGATGCACTCTGCCAACACAAAGAGCATTGTGTGGATGTGCACAACTGATGCACCTGAACCAGCTCATAATAATCAATGTAACTTTTTAACTCTGTAGTATAGACATAGCCTACATATCCCACTGGAGGAACGGGAGAGAGGCTTCTCATTTACACAAAGGCTCCTGTACACCACTCTGGCAATGCATAGGGGCGTTAAAGTGGAAGTAGATTACTATTTATTTTCTAGAGTCTTTACGTTGCGAGTATGGTGAAAAGGGGCCTCAGAGTAAATGAGAATCAGGCTCTGGATGTTTATCTGCAGCTGTATAGAAATCAGAACTATTCTGACCTATTCTGCCTGGAATCTGACATAAACAGGCCTTCTTGTGAGAAATATGGTTCTTCTGCTTCCAGACATGGTTTTACAAACCATGAGATGATGATGTGAATGCTGTTTAACTCCATGGCTACGTCTACATTGGCCCCTATTCTGTAATAGGGATGCAAATGCAGAACTTTGGAATAGGCAAATCCGTGGGGGATTTAAATACCCCCCACGGCATTTGTATAAACATGGCTGCCGCTTTTTTCCGGCTCGGGGTTTTGCTGGAGAAAAGAGCTAGACGGGATCTTGCGGAAAATAAGCCCTTTTCCGGAAGATCCCTTATTCCTACTTTCAAGGGCTTATTTTCCACAAGATCCCATCTAGACTGGCTCTTTTCTCCGGCAAAACCCCGAGCCGGAAAAAAGTGGCAGCCATGTTCATGCAAATGCCACGGGGGATATTTAAAAACCCGCGGAATTTGCAATTCCGAAGTGTCTCATTAGCATCCCTTTTACGGAAAAGGGTGCCAGTGTAGACACAGCCTCTTTGTTGTGGTATTCAGGCATTCCCATATTGCAGTTTGGGAACCTGTGGTCTGCTTAAGATTTATCAATCTTATCTTAACAAATCTTCTGTGATGGGGTAGACCAGGCCTTGAAACCCCTGCTGGAGTCTTGTGGCCTTGCCGCAACCTACCCAGAAAAGGAACACAGAGAGGTTCTCCGAGGAAGCTAGAGTGGCTGTAGAAGAAGTGGCCAATTGGGGGCCAGAAGGCCCTATAAAAGGAGCTGAAGGACCAGACAGCAGGCAGTTGTTCTTGAGATCTGAAGCTGTGAAGACAGGATGACTGGCTGGATGAGGAAGCACAGCACTGTGGACAGCTTTGTGTGGCGACTTTAATAAGACTAATGGAAAATGTGGGTCTCTGAGGGTGCATCTACACTGCATCTTTACCTTGAAATAACTTATTTCGAAATTTGGCACTGTCTACACATAAATAAAATAAAGCGCTATTCTGAAACATCCCTTAGCCCTCATGGAATGAGGGTTACATAGATGCCGGAATAGCATACCCATTATTTCGATATCTATTTAAAAATAATGGGTGCTCTCAGAAGACACAGAATAGCTATTTCAGGATACTTCCGGAATCCCAAAATAGCTCTGAAGTATAGACATAGCCTGAGATAAGGGAGAGGAACCTGTCTCCAGGAGAGGAAGCCCAAGTGGTGAACATACTGAGACAGACACTGGGGTATGTTTAGATTACAGGGTTTTTTAAAAAAAAGTGGCCTCTTTTCGAAAAAACTTCCCCTGCATCTAGACTGCCGCCATGTTCTTTCGAAATTAAATCAAAAGAACGCAGCGGTTTTTTCGACAGCGGTAAACTCAATTTTATGAGGAAGAATGCCTTTTTTCGAAAGCTTCCACGAAAAGGCATTCTTGACCACAAAGACTTTTTTGAAAGAGAGCATCCAGATTGCTGTTTTTAAAAAGTGGCTGCTGTCTGGACAATTTCTTTTGAAAGAAGCTTTTTTGAAAGATTATTTTGAAAAAGCCTCTTCCAAAAGAGGCTTGTAGTGTAGACGTATCCTAGCAGAAGGCACTGAGATGGGCTCCTGTTAGATGTGTACACCAGTAGGGATTTCATTCACACAGTGTGTGACTCAGCCAGAGGACTGAAGAAAGCTTCCTACTAAGGGAGTGCAGACATATGCACTCGGCCAGAGGGGAGTGCCTACAAGAGGTGCTGCCCTTTTACACCATCCAACCTGAACCCTTGAAGAGAACAGACACCTTTTAGCTCCCATAAAAATGTTGGTCTGCAGCAGTTCCTTTAAATTGCAACTGAAACTGTTTTGTGCTGTACATATTGCAAGTGCAGAACACAAATACAGGCTGATCCACAGAGGGAAGCACTTTGCAATTATGTTAATTCCCTTTTAACTTTCCTTTCCTTTTAGCATTGCTCAAGCTGCATGTAAGGCCTGATTCATCATTGTTCCACTCCTTGTTCAGTCATGAAAAGTGGCTGAGAGGAGCTACCAACTCAAATTTGTATGATTTCACATCCACTTTACACTGGTGTCAAGGGCTGCACAAGCTAAAGGGCAACAGAAAATTGGGCCCCTATGATTCAGATCTACAAATAAGTCAAGCATGTGTATATCCTGTACCTCATAACATGATGATCTTGCTACACAGAAAGAAACTCTCTGCTTTCCCTCAAATCAAAGGGGAAATACAGTAAATGGCTAAAAATATCTAAAGGCACGTCAACTATAAGAAATGGGATTGATACAGCTCATGAGCCAGGAAAACACTTAAGTAAGGGATCAACTTTAAGCACCTGACATTGAAGTCAATGTTCCTGGTTCCCCTTCACACCAAAACCACTCTATGCCACGCTGCCTGGCTGTAAACATAAATTATACTCACTTGAAAGCCTTTCTACATCGTCAGAGGGGTTACAGTGGTTTCACTATAAATGAGAATCAGGTCATTTGGGGCCACTCATATGCTTTAAATTAAGCATGTGCTTTGCTGGATTGGGGCCATAATCTGGAGTAACAAAATGAAATGTAGGCTCAATAGCAGGAAAAATCTCCTAATGGTGAGAATTGTTAGACTGTAGAATAGTCTCCCAAAGGAAGTAGTGGTATAGGTTGAACCTATTTAAATGGGGATTCTTTGGTCCAACAACATGAGTGGTCCAGTAGGACCACGGACGTTCCAGAACTAAAGAGTTACTGTGGAGGGCTGGTGGCTAACAGCCCAGTGGGCTGGCAGGGCAGTGGGCTGCTGTCAGTGGGACCGGGTGTCTGGCTCCCTGTAGCTTGGTTGCCCAGTGCACTGCAGCTGGGCTGTCAGGAATGACCCAGCTGGGCTGCCCGCCACAGCCAGGAGCCTGGCGCACTGGAAGCTGGGCTGGAGCTAGGCTGCTCACTGGGTAAAAGAAAGCTGGCCAGTGTCTGGAATTCAGGGCTGGGTGGGTGGCAGGAGCAGGGGGAGGGGACCAGATATGACCTCTTCGGTCTGGCAAAATTCTTCATCTGGGACTGATCAGATCCCACGGGTGTTGGACTAGGAAGGTCCAACCTGTAGCTTCAAACTTGACTAATTTAAAATAGGCTGAACAAAGCACTATTATGCTATAGGGAACAACGGTCACTGCTCATTGGATGGACAAAATGACCTAACTGGTCTTTCCCATCTTTAAACTCCATGTATCTGATGAAAATAAAACAGACATTAGAAAGAAAACTTACCGCTTCTGCCAGCATCTGCTGCTGTAGAAGGAGCTGCTGTTTTTGCTCCATCATCTGCCTCTGCAGAGCCTGTTTCTTTTCCATCAGTTGCTGATTCAACATTGATTGCTGGGATGAGTTCATGTAACCACTTCCAGTGTTGGGATTTGAGCAAGTACTGGAATTTGGACTGGGGCCTGCACCTTGGCCTAGCACAGAGTGCTGCTGCTGATCCTGAAAAAGAACAAACAGCTTATGAATGATAAAATCAAATGGAAAAGCATCCGGAAAAGGCAATGACTCTTTTTACACCCATAAATTATTAAAGATCAAATGTGGGACACTGCCCTGTAAGCTGCAGGGTCAGAGACTGATAGCGAAGGCTTATATGAAGAAACAAGCAGAGGAAATAACTCTAATGCAGCATGGGAAGCTTTGAAAACCTACCAAGTGGTTTCAGTGGGAAACTGTAACATTCTAACAGGAGTTTCTGGAACCTCAAAGGAAGTAACTGAGCTGTCCTGGGAATTTTACAGGGAACTCCCATAAGAACACATGGCAATTCGTGTAATTACATGGCAACAAACACTGCTTCTGTTGACTCCTCCAATTTGGTTTGTTGTTGTTCCCATTACACTGAGACTCTCTACTAGAAGTGACAGCTAATTGTAACCTTATTAGAAAACAAGAAAGAGGCTAGTTGTCACTCTACAGTGAAATGACCGGTGCCTTTTCTTTGGCTCCTTCATATTCCCCCAGAAACAATATCGGTGAAAGAACAGCGTAAATTCTGGTGCTACAGAATCAGCTCCAGTTATTATTATTGATTGTGTTCTTCTACCAGTGCCTAAGGCGGGGTGGGTAAAAGGGCCTTCCTGGGCTGGATACTCCCCTGCCCCCAGGCCAATCAAGGCCAAGAGACAGGGAAGCGCATGGCACTTAGAGTCAACCTTGACAGTTGACTCTAAGCGCTGCGGAGGGCTGGATAGAGTCAACCCTGACAGTTGACTCTAAGTGCTGCGGAGGGCAGGGTGTGAGAGGCCTTGCACGCTCCTCCCTGCCCCCAGGCCAATCAGGGTCTAGGGGTGGGGGGAACGTGCAAAATCTCCTTCCACCTTGCAAGGGGCATGTGGTGCTTAGAATCAACTGCCAGCTGCTGCTCAGTTGGCAGGTGACTCTTAAGAGTGGCGCTCGCTTGCAGGAGGAGGGCAGGAGCCAGAGGCTTCCTGTACTCCACTTCCCCCAGGCCCTGATTGATCTGGGAGCAGGCAGGGGAATACGCAAAGTCTCCTCCCACCACCAGGGACATGGGCGCCTAGAGGGAACCACCATCTTTTCAGAACAGCTGGAAGTTTTCTCAGGGGGGAGGCAGGAGCAAAGACTTTGCATGCTCTCCCACCCCCAAACCAATCAGGGTCTGTGGGTGGGGAAGCACAGAAGTGTCCTGGCCCCACCCCTTCTGCCTGAGGCCCCACGTTTACTGAGATGGCCCAGGGCCATTTTAAAAATGTCTGAAATAGCCCCCAGTCAAAAATTATTGCCCACCGCTGGCCTAAGGGCTCACAAAGAGAGGTACCCCCATGTGCCAGGCACTGTACAAACAGAATAAGAGACAGTCCCTACTCCAAAGTGTTTACAGTCTAATGAGACAAGACAGATGTGCAGGGCAGCAATATGGGGTCTAACACATAAGCAAAGAGAAAAAAGGGATAGCAACAAATGGCATGGTAATTCAATGCATTTTTCTGGTGAGGAGGGGTGAATTAGGAAGGGATTCTCTAAATGGGAAGCAAAGAGAAGTGGTGGGGAAGAGAAGACAGAACAGGAGGTGAGAGGGTAAAAGAGGTGTGAAGGGAACCTGAGGTAAAGAGACAGAGAGGGAGCAAGGATTAGAGTAAACAGCCAATCATCAAAGGAAAGAACAAATCCAGTCAACACTGTGCAGGCCCTCTCTGTCCAGTGGTCCCTGCTTTGGCTGATTCTGGCCCAACCAGCTGGCTCCTGTCTGTAGTTTTCCACACAAGGTCACAATAGTATGTGGAGAGGAAGGGTCGGGTGTCCACTTCTTCAAAATGCAAAAACAGGACAGATGCAGGAGCCCTATTTCCACTGTGGTCCTGTCCCCTGCTCCATCTTGTTCCCTAAGACCACACCCTGGTCCTCTTTCCCCCTGAGGCTCTGCCCCTTGGCCAGCCTGGAAGCTAGAACTGGGCCATGGTAACAGACACCCAGGGACCCCAGGCTATTGTGGGGAGTCCCAGACCCTCTCCCTGGCCTGGGCAAGGAGCCAGGGTGCCTGAGAGCAGCCCCCAGCCTCTGCCCCTGCCCTCCTCTCTCAGTGGTGGGTTTGAAGCTCCCCACATGGTCTGAGATCCCTGGCTGGGTCTTACTATGGCCCCCTCCAGCTTCTGGCCTCAATAAGGATAGGTCCTCCAGGGGTGGGGAAGGAGCAGGAACAAGGGGAGGGGCTGATGTAAAGTGGGAGTTGAGGCCCACCTCAGTCCTCCTGCTGGGAAGAGGCTGGTGCAGGTCTGGAGACTTGGGTAGGTATGGAGTGGTGCTGTAAGGAATCTGGGACAAATGCTCTCCCAGAATCTTTCAGACCAGGATCAGGACTTGAACTCTGCATTTCAGAACTGTCCTGCCCGATTCAGGATGGAGGCTCACCCTAAGGCAGGCGTGGGCAATAATTTTTGATGGGAGGCCACTCCAAGATTTTGGAAAGTGGTCGAGGTCCACACTCTTCCATGATATTAAGGAGAAGATGTGGGGTCTGGGATGGAGGATGGGTGCAGAAGGGAACTTGGGGTAAGGACTGGGGGACAGGAAGGGGACTGGAGTCTGGGAGGGAGTCGGGATGAAGCAGAAGGTTGTGATCTAGGGCAGAGGACTGGAGTGCAGGGGTTTGAGATGTCACCTCGAGTAGGAGGGGATTGGGATCTGGGGCAGGAGATTGCCAGATCAGGGATAGGGCATGGGTGTAAGAGGGAGGCAGAGAGTTTGGGTATGTTGAGTGGGTGGGGGGAAGGCAGAGAGTTGGGGCAGGAAAGAGCTGGGGTGCAAGAAGCAGGCTGTGGTGAAGAGACTTACTTGTCAGCTGCCAATGGGGTCTGGGATGGAGGATGGGTGCAGAAGGGAACTTGGGGTAAGGACTGGGGGACAGGAAGGGGACTGGAGTCTGGGAGGGAGTCGGGATGAAGCAGGAGGTTGTGATCTAGGGCAGAGGACTGGAGTGCAGGGGTTTGAGATGTCACCTCGAGTAGGAGGGGATTGGGATCTGGGGCAGGAGATTGCCAGATCAGGGATAGGGCATGGGTGTAAGAGGGAGGCAGAGAGTTTGGGTATGTTGAGTGGGTGGGGGGAAGGCAGAGAGTTGGGGCAGGAAAGAGCTGGGGTGCAAGAAGCAGGCTGTGGTGAAGAGACTTACTTGTCAGCTGCCAAACTAGCCTGCCTCTCTGCAGAGCTTAAAATGTTTCCCAGCCAGCCAGCCTGCTTGCTTGCCTGGCCATGTGCTTCATGAATAACTGAGCCCAGGAGAGGGGGCGTGATTCTTCTTAGCTGCCTGTTATTCTAACAAGCTGTTCGCATTAGCTGGTTTCTGCTAGTAACTTGCCCTAAGGAAAGGGGGCAGTATCACGTGGATCCTAGTGCCCGCCAGAGCCGCATTAGCTGGTTTCTGCTAGTAACTGGCCAATGGGAATGTGCTGGGGGAGGGGCAGCTCCTGAAACTTCCTCCCTCCCCTCCAGTTTCAAAACAGAAATGGAGCCCTGCAGCTGCTTTTCTGCAGGGCATTCAGGGCTGCGGCTCAAACTGGGGAGTCTGCCTGGGGCTCCCCACTGCCTCTGCGGGCTGGATCCAGTGGCTTGGCGGGCAGGATGTGGCCCGCAGGCTGTATTTTGCCCAGACATGCCCTAAGGAAAGGGGGCAGTATCACGTGGATCCTAGTGCCCCCCAGAGCACATGGGTCTCCCTTGCATTGTTCAAGGGGGTTGCTGGGGAAAGGGATGGAGCCAGATGGAAGATGCAGGATTCCACAAACTAAGAGTTTATACAGTTCCTTGAGCACAAACTCACTCAGAACTCACAGAACATGTTGTACAGTTTGGTTTCCTTGTCATGTTCTAGAGCTCAGCAAGCCAGAAGCCAAATGCTGTGTTCTAGGAATCACCACGTCGCAACGGAGCCAGAGTAGAAACTATTCTCCAAGTGGTGGAAAAGGCCTGTAAGCGGGGGTGGGGAGAGTATCCAACCCTGCCTTTCACCCTCCTTCCCTGGGAGGGGCTGAAGCTACACGTGTTGAAATGATAACAGGATTGGGGTGCATAGGGCTGCAGTGAGGGTGGTGACAAAAAAGGACAGAATCTTCCATCTGGTCTATGTTGAGGGAGGCAAACATGTTGAGGGAGGGAAATGAAAGATTTAGAAAGAAGAAAGCGTGTCGCATTGAAAAGACTGTGGCTCAGATCCTCAAAGATATGTAGGCACTTAACTCCTACAGATTTCAATTCATTGCTTGCAAGGATAATCAGGTACCTAAATATTTTTGAAGGTCTGGGCTTCTGTGACAGGCTGCAGGAGCTAACTCCAGGTTTGCTTCCCACCCCCTCCCCC